TGTATGGCTGTATGGTTAGAGTTCAATTATTTTTAAAAACCGTGTGCGTTCTGTCTCTGCTGTTTAACTATTGTCCATTGAAAGATGATTCTGTAAATATATTGCAGCCTCAACTGCTTGTTAGTATGAGTGTTTCTGAAGAACATACCAATTCTGAGCTTCAGCACAAATGTTTATAATTTAGAAAATGGAACTTTAATCAAGGTATTGGCTAGTAGAGGCAATTGGACCATCATTAGCAGCCGTTTTCCATTACTGAGTTTGGTACTGAGTTCTCAGCACCTGCAGCTGACACAGGGAGTTGAAAAGCTCAGTTCTCCACAAGGCACACCACCTTCACTCTCTATTCTGCACTTGTTCCTCAGTGGGATGCAGTAAGTCCAAGGCTTGGAGAGGCCCAGGAGCAGGATCCCAGCCTGTAACACAGACCTGGCCTGCCTGGCTTCTGGTGTCTTGCCCAAATGTCGTGTGACCAGAATTTGTGTTTGATTCAGTTTAGTTTGGAGAATTAGAACTTCCAAGGGGTGCTTTTGCTCCCTCAGACAGTGCAAGTAGAAGCTGTCAGGAAGAGACTACATTTCTGTTAATTAGCACATGTAATTTAATGAGTTACTGAAAAAAAACCAACAAAATTGGACTTGCATACTTGCATGCATACAGGCAGTATATATTATATTATACTGTGCATGGAACACAGCTTACGGACAGTTTCTGTCTATTGCATGCCAAATGTGTTCTCCTACTTGTTTTGAACTTACACTTTAAAATATATACCCCAGTGCTGAAATGTAATCCCTCTGGAAGGCAATGGCAGGATTAATGCTGGTTTCAACAGATTCAAGTTTTCTTTTATTAAATCGAATAATAGAGTCATAGAATGGCTCAGGTTAGAAGGGACTCAAGGATCACCAGGTTCTAACCTCCCTATCACAGGCAGGGCTGCCAGCTGCTAGATCCAGTCCTAGATCAGATGCCCAGCATTCCATCCAGCCTGGCCTCAATCACTTTCAGAGCTGGGGCACCCACAATCTCTGTGGACAACCTGTTACAGCACCTGACCACTCTCTCCGCTGTCAGGTGTTGAAATGAAGAACTGAAGCAGCAGAAAGGAATGCTGCCAATTTTCATTCATTTTGTAAAGCTTAAACATAGAAAAGCAATATCTTTTTTTTTTCTTCTACTAATAAAGGTGACATCTTCAATTAGCTGTAAAAAACTTGTCTGCCTTCAGCAATACCAAGTGCAATATCAGTAACCCACAGCAGCTGACAACAGCGTTATTGATTTATGTAATCAGAAAAGTATTTGACTCCTGCTGTTCACTAGCCATGCTTGTCTTAATGTGAGCCCTGCAGATTTGAAGTCAAGGCTTTATCAGTCTGCTTGAGAAAAGAGTGCAAGGCTGTGTAATGCTCCCATCCTTGTCTTAGGCAAGAAGAACAGCAATAACTCCAGAAGCTGCTGTGATTCAGTTAAGACACCAACCTCTGCAAACTCCAGCAGGATTACATGAATCATGCCTACCAAGCCTGAACCTTCTGTTCATACTCCAATTACTCATACTGCCAACCCTAGGAATAGCACATAACTAATTTTTATGCATCAGCCTTTGTGCTAATAGCCCTTTTTTGCAGGGAAGAAGCCTCACTTGCTCAGTGCCAGACTGGCTGCAGCAGAACTTTCCCCAAAGTGTACATCAGCAGACCAGCAATCCAGTTAATGAAGTTCTAAAGTTTGGCTGGAGGAAAATGTTTATACATCTAACTACCTAGGTAGTTTTACGTTAGATTTCTCACCAATGCACAAGTTTTGCAGTAGCCCATGGAGTTTAGCTATGTGATCTTCAGCTCTTAGATATGGATCCCGTATCAGGGCTGGAAGATGGGAGCACTGGGAACCTCGCAGTTCTGAGAGCTTTTGTACAAAGATGTTGTTGGGGCTGCCCTCAGCCCAACATTGTCTCTCAGGAACTCTAGCTGAGTTTCCTCAGCTGCTCTGTGCCAAGAAAACAGCAGAATTCCTTTTTCACTGAGAAATGCTTTCTTTATGCTGAAGGGCCATGCTGTCTACATTCACAAGGCAAACCAACTTGCACAACAGATATCTTCCATGCATTTTCCAGCATTTCAAAGAGAATTTCAGAATCTTCTGTAGCTTCCATGCTAGTTAATGGCAAATATAGCTAAACTTGAGAAGCCTCAAAATTACAAATCCTTCTCTAGCATCCTTGTATTTTGATTTTCTCATCTTCTGCTTCAGATTGTTGTAATGGATTCCAAGCCAAACCAACCCCAGGGCAGACTTTTACAAGCTTTATCAGCGTGCTTTGCCCTCCCCTATGTGCCATCTGCCTGCTCAGCTTTTGTCAGTTCAACTCAGCCCATTTCTGAGAGACAAAAGAGGATGCCTTTGCATGTCACTGATTGCTTCCAGCTGAGAGTAAACGAATTAACACATTCTGTAGGTTAGTGGCAGAGGACATTTAAGCTTTTAGATGTGATGTACTTGTGCAGATGCTGGTATAGAAATGGTGCATTAGTGAAGCTATTTACACAAATGTTGTAGGCAACACAGTGAAACAAAACTTTACACACATTTGCATAGTCAGGTAACTAGCAATGCTTAGAGTATTCAGTCAGTTTTTGTTTGCAAGCTGTATTGTCTTGAAAATGGTGACAGCTCTAGAATAAGACAGAAATTATAGACTTGCTACACACATTTGAAAGCCATCTCCCTTTCCTCTGAACTCAAGCATCTCTCTGTAGGGAGGAACTGATTATCCTCTTGTAGACTGCAAAGAGCAGGTTTATCAGATTAGCACTAGCAGTGCTGACATTGTGATTTAAAATCATCAGTATGTGACAATATGAAGTAGTGTGAAATCCTAGTGTGATTTTTCTTACCTGTGTATCACAATTAGTGGGAAGGCTAATTTCACTTCTACCTCTACAGGCCTACCATAGCAGGTGAAACTCTAAGCAGAGAAGTTGTTACAGGAGCTGGAATTTTGAATGGGCAAGAGCACTAACTTGTATATATCATCAATGATGCAATCATAGCTATATAGAACAGGTGAAATGCAAATAATAATTTACCCTTCTGCTTTCCATCATACATATTTCCAAAACAAGAGATCTTAAACTTGCATTAGAAAGCATGTCCAGGCAATGGCAAGGAAGAGAGTCCTGAATGTAAACTGTAATATTTTATTGCAGAATTGAAAGTTATTTATGATGTATAAACTAGAAATGAAGGCAGGGCTAAATCACTTTTGATGCAGAATGGAAACATAACATCCTAACAGTATCCCTGTGTATTACAATCCATATGTCACCCAGAATCTCTTTCCTAGCCAAGTACTGAGGTCTCCCACACGGTGGGCAGATGAGAATACATCCACACAGAGCTGATGTAAGAGTACTTCCATACATGTTTCAAGTGGCAATATCTCAGTTTGAGCATTTGTCAATATACAGTCTTTCTACAAGTTAATAAATACTACATTCCATCAGTGACAGAAATAGAAGATACAGAATAGCTTTTTAAGGCAAAATAGGTATTTTGGGGCTAGCGCTGTCTCCTCACCCATGCTGCTGTTTTTAGGCAGGCTTTGTAATTTATTTTATTTATCTGAAAATTCTGTTGTTCGTGGAAAGCCTTGTCCACTTAACTGGGTGGTCTGTAGCAGAGCACACTACAACACTGTCTGCTCCCTTCAGTTTCAGCTTTGATCCAACAACTCGACAGACCAGAGGTCCCCATGGGGAGAGTTTCAAGGGGAACTTTAGCTAGGACTGTGGCGTACAAAGGAGAATGCACAAGACAATCCGCTGAGGTGCAGGAAGAAAATTTATTTTTGGTACTGTTAATAAACAAAAGAAGAAAAAATTAGAATAGCGTTTATTTAATCCTTTAATTTCCATCTTTGTGTATGTTTTTTAGGATATGTAATATTTGTATGGTTGTACATAATTCATAAATGTATAAGGATACCTGGTACATGCTCTTTTTTTACTGATGGCTACACGATCCAAAAAATTTGGGATCACTAAACCAGATTATCCTAAGGGGGACTCTTCCTCCAACATTTCCATAGTGCTTGCTGTATTTTGGTATTAATTCTATAAAGAAATGTCTAATTAATCCCGTACTAAGTTTGAGAAAGTTGTATGTAATCAACAGGAATATAGATCTTTTAGACTAGTTTCTACTTCAGATAAGTATCTCAACGTTATTAAAATCTTGCATTAAACAGAAAGGCCTTCAAACTGGACCCAGATGAGGAGTATTTTAAATAATTTCTTTCCATGAAAAATCAGAACCATCTGGCAAACATGCTTGCACACTGATGTTAACATAAAATACATTAAACAGAAGATCGACATGTCTGTAAGGCATGCAAGAGTATAGGATTTGTGAATGAGTTAGATTTACTACTGAAATTAGGATTCCAGGAAGTACTGTTTTCTGATCACAAGTAACGTTACACACTCTGTAGAAATCATTATTGTTATGAAATCTTTTGTCACAGCCCAGATTTTGTTCAAATATGATAACAAATGACTGTCTTAATAATAATCATTTAGCTGGCAAGACATTGAGTTGAAGTAGTTTCTGTAGTTGCGCATTTAGTGCACTGACTAGTAAAACCAAGAGAATTTGGCTGTGGACTGTATAACAGAATCTGAAGCATTTCTGAAAAAATGGATTAAAGGATTAGAAAAAATCATGCATATGTAAGTACAAAATATGAACTGTAATCAGAAGTACAACAGTATCCCACTGCATAGAAGACTAGATCATATATATGTTATAAGCAAGAAACAAAACTATCTTGTGATGCTTCAGATGCCAGTGAGCAAGCTTTCCACATCAAGCATTTTACAGGAGCTTGCATGCTCTTTAAAGTGATTTTAGTGTTTAAGCTCATAACTATTATATTTGCAAAGTCATATAGTCAGTAGTAGTACCAAAGTTAAGTTCTACATTAATGACCATTTTCATTCAAGGTTTTCTTCAAAAGTTGCCATAATATCACTCTGCAAATTCATATCAATTGTACAAGCCATCTGCAAGAAAGCAAATCAGTGTATTTCTCAGAGCAGTCAGGCAGTAATGAATACTATGCAGGACAAATATTAAGATTTAATGAAAACCTACAAAACTTCTTCCCAAAGAAGTGTATGCTTCCTGCGTTTTTACAAATTTGCTTATGCATACTGTTCAAGTCCTTTCTGAAAAGTGCTGAGCAAGGTGAAAGCTTCAGGAGATTTTATCTGGGTCTATTATGATCTTAGCCAAACTGCGTAATACTGTACATTGAACTGGTTTAGAAACATTTAACCTAAAGCATAATAGCAATTAAAGAGCACTCATTATCTATACCAATAAGACCAGTAAGTTAGTTTTTGAAAGGCTCCATGTTGGTATTTCAGAGTACTACAGTATGGCGCACTTTTGTTGACATGTTGTGTGTTAGCATGTTGAAGAGGAAGAGCAGCTTGCAAAGACTTGAGGTTTGACTTTTTAAAGGGGAATCTCTGCCTACTTAATAATTTGATTTTGTTATGCAATTATTGTAACATTGTATGAATAATAGGAGCACTTCTTTTGTTATGCCGCTTACAGATTTATTTAATCATCCTATTTTATTTTCTGGTCTAACTTCAGATTGCAGAGTTATCTTGTTTTTACTTGTTCAGGTTCTTACTTTGAAGGACCTGAATTTCTTCTCTCAGTTGTGTACTAGAATTGAAACAAAATTAACCAAAAAGAGTCAGCAACTTACTGCTTCTCTCCTTCTGCGTTCTTGTTCCATTTTTCTGGCCAAGTTACGGTCCTGAGCAAGAGGGTGTTGCTGAGCTTCTGGCAATTGTTTGCTCATATCCTCTTCTTTTGGGGGCTTAAAGTCTTTCATTACCATGGCATCCAATCCTGTGCCTTTAGGGACCCTTTAGAGAATGGAGGAGAAACAAGGACAGGCTTGAAATCTTTTTATTTTCTTTTGTAACAAGGCTGTGCAACTCAACAGAATTCTGCAAATAAATCTGAACTTAGCACACAGTACGTGGTTCCATTTTATGAGTTATGATAATTTCTCTTTGCAAGAAGTACAGTGTACACAGTTTTTACATGGTAGTAAGATAAGGCTGCTTGTGTTCTATTTCCAATCTATATGCACACAGGATTTGTATGCATGCTATGCAAAACTTTTACTGAAGTCACATTCTTTCACACATGATTAATTTTCTGTTAGTTTGGACATTTTGCTTCCAAATTCATCCTTCTAAACTAATTGAGTTCTATTTCACTAACTTCAGACAAGGATTTCTGATGTCACTTGACAGATACCTCTCTTGCGTTAAAAACGATGCAGAAGTTAACCAGAAAAAAACTTTTTATGCACTAGTAAATATGAATCACTGAAAACTTACAAAGAGGTATTTATAGAAGATATGAAAGAGTGCAAAGAGGGACTGTCAGATTATGTAAGCAACTAACCAAAACTGATGCTGCTTATAGTGCATGCCAGTGGGGAAGAAAAGCTCTGCTGAATGAGATGGATGCTTTTGCAACTGTTAGGTGTAGGCTGCACCATTATCTATACTAAGTTATGCTAAAGCAGTAGTGCTTAAACAAGGATCCTCTGGGAGGGGAAGGACTTTAAGCAAGATCCAGCATTACTTGCCTGTATGGCAGGATTCCAGATAGACCATTCTGAATGTGAGTTTTACTGTCTAAAGTAGTTCACACTGGCACTACTTTAGCTACATTAGCACCAACTTCTTGAAGACTGTCCTTGAAGATTATCCTACTTGTCCCTTTGGATATCAATTAGATAGGGATTTTTTTGACTATAGATACAGAAAAGTAATGTATTGAGTGCAGGTATGAATTCTGATCATGGCCAGAGGAACTGAGTGCTCCAACAAAAAAGACAACTATTGCATTGCCTAAGCAGTCCAAAGCTAATTCTTCTTTAATTTAGCCCACAGAATTATTCAACTATCCAGATGATTGACCACACACATAGATTGAACACATATAAGCAAAAAAATAGATTGATGTTTAAGCATATGTTGTTACAAACCTCTCTTTTTCCTGCGTTTGCCCAGCTGCTTTCTGTAAGGCTACTTTCCTGAAATGCTTGAAGCTCTCTGCAGATGACTTTATTGGAGCTGGAAGCATCATCATTTTGCACAAGCTTACCCAGGAGTCTATGTTCTTAATTCCTGCGGCCTAAAATTATTCAAAAGAAAAAAAGGGGGTGGGAGGAAACATGGAAGTAGCAATAATACAGCTACTAAAGTTGTTTTTTTTTTCACTTCAATTACCCATTTTCTACTTAGTTCCTACATTAGCACAATGCTGTTTTCAGGGAACTTAGTGTAGAAAACCTACAACAAAAAATTCTTCACTTTTCTAAGAATATTTGAGCAAATAAAGCAATCTAAGCAGACTTCAGTACATTTTTTCAATGTTTTCATCAGTGTTGAAATTCTCTAGCAAAGCAGTTTAATAACCAGTAGCAATTGCAGCTCTTACGCAGTTTCTTCTGCTCGCTTCTCTAATTTTAATTCTAGAAAACATGAATTCACAAGACAGCACCTACCCTTTCTGGAAAACTCTGGGATTTTGTCTCTGGAGTCTTTGTACCATTAGGTGTATTACAATGACCTGATGGAAGAATAAAAATGGGGTTTTTATTCATGTAGACTTTGTGGATTTTGTTACCTCAAATTAAAATAATTTGTTTAGTCAATCTAAAAAATGACTTAATTCACACTACAGAATTTTCAAAATTAAATCACGTGGTTCAAAATGACAAAAACATTCCCAAATACTGGTAGCATTTCCTAATATTCAAGCTGAACGGAACCACTGTTCTACAGGTTGATGCAGTTCAATTCAACTACATGCATTCTGTTTTTTCCCTCAAGTTTTCTACGGAAGAAGTTATTAACAGAAAAGTTTTTCTTCAACACTAAGAATGGCTGGAACACATATTATTGCAGGAACAGTCAAACACCACTGTTACTGAAAGGGGTCAGATAGCTCCTCTCAAAATTAAATGCTGAAGCTCACACATACTCAAAGGCAGTTTAATCATGAAATAATTCCTGTATTCCTCCCCCTCCCCTTCCCCCAAAGCTGTCTGCACATGCAGAATTGAACGAGGAAGGGAAGGAGAGATAGTAGGACAAATTAAATGGAAGATCAGAGTCAAAATTTAAGAAGACTAAAGGCTAAGCAGTAGACAATAGTTTTGGCTATGCTTGCATCCCCCTGCTAACCCTGTGAGCATGAAGCAGTAAGCTTCATTCATTCCTGCTTGTTTTCCCAACCCTTCAACGTATAGAAACAATCACAATCCTGGCGCTATATGTGGTACACAGGACAGGAATTTGAATTCCAAAGGGGCAGAATATAGTAAGTTAAGTCTATTTGATTCACCTATTACACATTTTAAAATTCTTCCTTATTATTTTTTTTAAGTACAGTAGAAGAACTATCCTTTGTCCAGAGTTGAACAACTAATCTGTGATATTTCAATTAGGTTTTGCCAAAGCTTGTTCCCACCCTGTTCAATCATATGCAAGGAATGGTGTAGAGGGAACAAAACCCAAGTAATTGTGTCTGGTAACACTCAGATTTAAGTGAGGGCACTCTGTACCTCGCTGTGCAGTCTTGAGTTTGCAATATGCATGAAGTCTGACACATTCTGCTATGGAATACAGCTTTCTGGAGACCTGCTTACTTGTAATCTCATGGAATAAACTTGCAGTTACTTGACATCACTTTACTATCAGATCCTCATCACAAAACTGGAGATAGTTACTCAAAAAGCATAAAGTGCTCTTAGGGAATGAGCTGCCTTGGAGAATCAGCAGAAAACAATCGAGGGCCAGCAAAATTCTGTGCAGATTGGAGGTTCAATCAACACTCTCAAGCTTTCTGGAATACTGAATTATCTTTAGTTAACTTTCTGAAGTCAGTACTAAGTCATTTTGCTTTCTGTATTTTAGTGCAGAACGAGAAAGGAGCTGTAACATTTTTTTCCTTAACAAAAAAACCAAAACAAAACAACAAACCAACCCCACACCAAAAACACAGAAAATAAAAGCAAGTGTTTTGTCAACTGATTCATGCACAAGTGTTAAACATTTTATTTCTTCAAGACAGATTCATAGACATTTAACTTTCTGGCCTTTAAATCAATTGGTTCTGATTATGGCAGTACATACTCTGCTCTTGGCTAATAGATATTGAATCAGCAGCTCTCTCACTGGCCTTGCTTTGAACTTCATCTAGATTAACTAATGTTTTTTCAGTTTTAGTCCCATCAGCATCATCAGCAGGGGAGGTTGTATTGGATACCTAGAAGAGAAATAGAGAAATTAGACTTCAAAACATACTCTGATAACATGTTAGTTCTTGCTATATGATAATGTATTAACGTGTTCAAAGCCATGTTGAGAAAGACAGTTTAGTATCCAAAGATAGAAGAGATCATGCTGTGGCAATGACATCAATAGCTTCTTTATGCAGAGGCCCTCCTAAGCAGCATGCTCTCCAAGAGCATGGAGATGGTGTTTAAATATTTCACAGAAAGAAAAAGCCTCTAGATTCTTGTTAAGCTTCTGGAGCTTGATATTTCTAGAGAGCAAGAGCACACAGTATGAATTGTTCATCTCTCTGCACAGCTGTAGGTTTACAGGTGAGCTTTTGACATATATGACTACAAGGACTACCTGAATTTAAACTTCAGCACTGAAAACGAGAATAAGTGAGTCTTATAGTGCATTATAAAGTTGATGCACTTCAGTCAATGCCAAACTCTTCCTTTTTATATTGTGTCCAATGAATTCATGCTCCTATTGAAGGATGAGAATCACATATTTAGTGGGCTTTTAGGTAAATGTTTTATTATTGTTCTAAAGTGGCTTTCTTTGCATCAGACTCAAGACTGGAGTGTTACATCAATTTAAAGAAATAGATATGCCTTAAAATAGTTATTTGAAATAATGTATTGGAGAGATGTATTCACCTCTGGAACAGCCTGTGCACACTGGATATCAAAAGGCTGATCTGTCCTTCGAGCAGTCTGAGGCATTTGCTTGACTGAAGTATCTTGCAAAGCACATACACCTGCAAGCATACCTGAGAAAGAAGAGGTGAATGGTTTCCCAGAACCTACACACTGCAGTTCTGCATCTCACTGTTTAGAGCTGTGGATTTGCCAACTACAAAGGCTACCTAGCTACTTTGTAGCTACCAACTGCAAAACTACCTAGCTGCACTATGACTTTTTTTTATTAGGTTTTAATTTTTTTTTTTTTTCAGATTATCAACTACCAGCTGTCTTTTACTAAACAACTGAGGAGTGTCTGAATTGAGACCTTCTGATTGAAGAGAAAGAAAACAATTTCTTAATCACATTTCATAGTGACTTATAGCTGATATGTTTAGATAACTGATCAGTTCAGAAGGCCTGTGGTGCTAGTGCAGCTAATAAGTACTTCATATGTTAACTTGAACAATGATGGCAAAAAATTAAGCATTTAACTCCTGCCTTGAAGTACTTCCTGTAACTTTAGGTTCATTAAGGCATCACTGCCTCCAGTTGCTGGCTCTCTTCATTGAGGGAGGGAGGCATGAACCTCTCTGTTTTAATAGTGTTCTATCCCAGTCTTAGCGCCAGAGTAATCAAACTATATCCTATTTGACATACTTTTGCTTATACCATGCTCCTAATTAGTCCATATCATGTAAAAACCTTTGCTATTACTCACCCAATAACTTCCAAAATTTCAAGATAAGCTTACTGAGCAGTGTGAACACCAATTCTACCACCTTTCTTTCTTCAAGGTTCACTCAAATAGCCATGATTCTTGCCATAAAGTTGTTACCTGAGGGAGACTTAGCATTTTGTTCTGCTGATTTAAGAGATCTACTCTGTAAAGGCTTAAGCTTCTGCAGCACAATGGGAGACAACAGCTGTGGTTCAGGTGATCCATGGTTTTGCAAGCTACTAGCAACAGATGAGGGCTGTACTTGCAGAACAGCATTGTAGGACATTCTCTGTAAGCACAGTGATGTTCTCTGGGAAGAGAAGGCACTAATTAATATGCTCAAAAAAAAATCTTAATTTAACAACTGTTTGATTCTCTCTCTCCCTCCCTTTACAGCATTTTTCAGGTGCAGTAGTCCTTTTGTAGTGTGGCGTTCATGAGAGTTTAGTTGACAAATCCCGGTGGAGTAAAATCCCCTGCTTTGGTCTGATAGATAGAAGCCCACCAGATCATCACTTTGTGTTTTGTTGTTTTTTTAAGTTTTTTTTTTTTGTTGTTGTTTTATTAAGTTTTATTAAGGACTTTTGGTGGGTGGCAGAGAAGGAAGGAAGCATTCTCTGTCCTCTCCCCACCTTCATCCAACAGAGAACTTCCAGTATTCATAATGGGTAAAAATCTCAGAAGTTTTTACACTCATCTTCCATAAAAAAGCAAAATATACCTTTATTAAGTAGATTTTACATTACTGAGTCAGTCCTACAGAGCAAGTAGTATTCAAGCTATGTTCATTATTTCCTGCTTATCTTGTGCACTTCCCAATACTGTCGGATGTACCAATTAACTACTGAGATGAAAAGTTATATCCACAACAGTCAGTTTACCTTAGGTTGTTCCAAAGAAGTTAGACTGTTTTGCCTCATTCCACTCTGTCCTGAGCATGTTTCTGTAACTGTAAATTCAGTGAGGTGGGCAGAAAGAGAGGAATGGGAAAAAAAGAAAGTCACTGCATATGTAGCATTATTTACACATACAAGTCATAAGACCGGTGTGTACCCGAAGAGCCAAACTCCACATGGAAAGGAATGGTCTTATCTTGCATACTTCAGTTTGATGTGTTACGGAACTTTTCCCAGATTTAACACATACAAATCCCTGCAGGATCAAAATCTTTGCTACCCTCAGTGATTCCACTATTTGCTTTTCTGCATTCAAGGGCAAGTGTGGGATTCATCTAACTTAAGACTGTTGCCTCATATGGATGCCTACCACTCAAATGTGGGGGAGGATCTACTCTGCCCCGGAAGAATAAGAAGTGTTCCACATAGAAATTCCAGCATCATGATGCTACAGCACCACACTACACCATGAACAAATGTGAGAAATCTTAAGCACCTTGGCAGATTTTGGCACTCCAGCCAGCATTGTTGCCATTTTGTCCCTAGGCTTAGGAACAAAACCTTACCCACAAGATAACGCTCCTCTGGTATTGCAGACCAGACAGTGAAAATAAGTTCAACTTTCAATTAGTAGTTAAAAAAAAAGAAAAAGAAAAGAGAGAGGCAATGCAAAAACCCACAGAAGTAAGCTGTAGCCTGGTGGTCAGGTCTCTGTCAGACACACAGACTTCTTTCTAACAGATTTTAGTTTCTGCAGTTCTTCACTGTTGTTTCGTTATTAATTTTTAACTCAGTTTTGAGACATTCATTTAATAACAACTAGAATTGAGTCCTCAACATAGAAGAAACCTGTATGAATTATTTAAGTCCTTGGTAAGCATTTGGAGCAATAGGTGCAAATTAGGAAGACAGATATTCTGCCCCGACAGAAACAAAAGAAAGCTTTCTGACCCGATTCAGAGTCACTGCTGTCTGAGGAGCTGGAAGCACTGCTAGTGCTGCTGCTTGAGTCCGAGGAGCTGCTAGTGTTGCTGCTTTCACTCAGTCGGCTTGGTCTAATACTGGACTCAGCATTACTTTCAACTGCAGAATAAAAAGGAAGACTTTGAAACATCCTGCAGTAGGTCTCCATCTACAAGCCTAGGATCTTCTTTGTAAGGGCTGTTTTCCCATATGACTGCTAGTCTTCTACCATTACCCTGTCATCTTTCCAGCAGATTCAAGACCTTTATAGAACAGAGATTTATCGGCAGTGAGCTTGGGTAAATGAAATAGCCAATTAAGAGCTGCAAACACACAACTTACAAGCCTAAACTAGGTTAAGATATGTGCTATTGTATGACACAATTCAAGCATGGTTTCCACCGTAGTTTTTCCTGCTCTTAAGTCTGGTTGTGCTTATTAGTGCTGCCAGGTTTGCATACTGAGGCCTTTGCTATAGTTGGTTCTCCTCTTTCCTACACTATGTGTAATCTAGAATTATCTTTTGCCACCTCCTCACCGTATGACTGTTTTACATCCGCAGGGTTAGCTTAAGCTTAGTTTACAATCTTGTTCAGACAAAAAAGCTTTTCCTCGAAGTTGTTTCTCCAGTGGAAGCTTGGGAAACAAGAAGCCTTATACCAATATACCTATTTTCTTAGACACACATTCGCTAAATGCTAGCTTCAGTTCTCCCTTGTAATGAAGCCAAATACCAATTTAAAATATTTTCTAGCCTGCCTCCTCCATCTTCACCCAACATTACGTTAATAACTTAATTGCTTCTTGTAGCTTTTATTTCTAGGATATTTTAAAGTCATTCAACTAGCTTTCTCTATTTAGTGTTGGCTATCAGCTATAGCCTGACAGTTACGGGGCTAGTAAAGTTTGTGTCATGTCTTCTATTGCAAAAGTGAAAAATGTTATTTTTACTTTTATTCAAGGATTAGATAGGAGAAATAAGGAAGAGGTTTTATACAGGACAAGTAGCTGCCTGTTCCTATGGTGTCACAGCAGCAAATGCAATCTTAAAACCTAGCAAAGAGAAATCTAAGACCTTAAATATTCTGAAGAAAAAGTCTCCATTTACATAACAGTACACAGGCCAAATTGCCACTTCAAGATTTTTGTTGCAAATAAATGAAATTCACATTACATTTGTAGTTCTCTTTCTTTGGATTTATCTGACCATTGACATCCAGTAGTCTCTTCTCCAGTTCTTGTTTCCTCTCAGAAAGAAGCTGCTCTTTTGACTTCATTGCTTTTTTGGCTGTGTGAGATAGAAGTTAACACCTCAGCAAAACAGAGAATTGATCTGTTTGTTCTTTTGAAACATAATTTATTCTACATACCATGCTGCTTTCTTGGTCTCTTCCTCAAACAGGTTGCCACATATTTCTCTAATTCTCTGAGTGTTGAAGCCTTTAAAGTTTCAAAGTCTATTTCTATCTCATCAGGGCTAGAATTCCTCAGTGATGGTTCTCTTGATTGTATTATATGGACTACTTTCCCAAGCTTATCTCCAGGCAGCTTATTTATGTTCAAACTCAACTGCCTTTTCTCATCATAAGTCATAGGCTTGGCACCATCTTCATCTTCTGACTTATGTGCCAACAAGACCTGCTGGATGGTTTTCTTTGATTGACTGCAAAAAGAAATTTACTGCAGTAACTGTAGTTTAAAATAATTTTACACCCACACAAGTCCCCCGCACTTACATGTTTGAAGACTGCTTTTTCTTAGATTTCTTGTGTTTCAGATCTTTCTTCTTTTGAATCAGGCTTGCTTTAGCTTTTTCCTTGTTCTTCCCCTTTTCTCTCTTAGCCTTCTCTTTTTTCTTTTTTGATCTAGGTAAGGATGCTCTGGTCAAAGCCCGCAACTGCTGGTGAACAGCTTTAAGCTATCAAAAGAAAAATAAAAAGCTGAGAGTCTTAAGTAATGTAATAGGAATGGTGAACTGGTTCTATATGTAAAAATCAGATCTCTGGCTTATAATGGATATTAATGTTTGCTCTCCAAACAAGACTTGTTTTTTAAACATCTTAGTCTATTCAAAAAAATAAAAATAGTCACAGACAAGATGATTAGAAAATAAAGCTACTTATTTTTTTTTTGCAGGCTTGTCTAAGAGCATGCATCTTCCAACAAACTGTGAAAACTAAATAGCAAAATAAGAAATTCACTGTAGTACTGTCCAGCGGCTTCTCTTCAATTTCAGGTATTTGGGAAACATGTAAATGCTTTATGTGGTTACTGCATTGAGCTAGCTGGGCTGGGCATGGGCATCTTCAATCTGCAAACCCAAGGTACTTTATTCCCAGCTAGCTGTTTTGTATCACATGTTGACATAGCTTTATAGGAAGTTTATTTAAACCTCTAATAGATTATAAAGAGGAATTAGACTGAGAATATAGTTTTCAACCACACTGAAATACTTAACTGTGGTGAGGCTGTCTTGTAGAATTAGTTATCTTCAGGCCAATATTCGTGAACTCATGTTTTATGTCCTACTCTGGGAAGAAATGAACGCTAAGTTGTTCCTTATTTGACTAGCAGAACCAAAACTTACTCCCTCCCTGGATTATAGATACAGTAGCAGCTTGACTTGTTATGTCAGGCAAAAATTAGAACTATCACACTGTTAGATAGTAAGACACAGCCATGATATTCATGCTGTTGGCAGTAGTTGAAAAAACTTTATTTTATTTTATACTAAGCTTTCTAACATAGAATTTATGACTTGCTTTTATGTGTCTCAAAAGCATATTCCTGACTATGTAAAGGAGCTAACACACCTTGACAGACTGAGCATAAGAGAGCTTTTTAGCCGTATAAAATGAAGCAAATGCCATTCAGAAGCATGTGACTCTGTGTGTGGAGTACCTGGATGCTGTCATCCATGGTATCATGGCAACAGTCTTATTTTTGTTCAAAAGACATGTCTTATCTAAAAAAAATGCTAGGCAAGAGCACTAGATGACATTTCAATAGAAACAGTTTGTATTTGCTGAGGCACTTTCAGATTGTTAATGTTTGGAAGTACTTCCAAACAGAATCAAGTTTAGTTTTTCAAAATCCAAGTGACTGTAGAGTCCTGTAAACACTGATTCTTGGTGCTAAGCCTTAGAATAGACAATTGCAAAGGCACTACCAGAGACATTACAATCACGATGTTGACTCCTAGTAGTTACCTGCTCCTGAAGTTTTGCAAGGTACACTGTTCTCTCCTTTTTAAAGTCTTCAGATGATTTTTCTTCTGAAGAGTCATCACTGCTGCTGTCACTGGAATAAGCTTTTGTAATTTCTCTTGCATGCTGTGGCAGAAGAACACTTGTAGCTGGTTCATCAGGAATTTTGGCAAAGTGAGTCTCAAAAACATCCTAAAGGATTTTGTTTAGGAACAGCAAATAAACATCTCAGATTTCTCAAAGCATTGTGAAGCTCCTGTTAGTTTTCTAGAACTACACATCGGAGGAGCTGATCACAGCAGGTGGTACATCAGGGCCTAAATGACCAAGAAAATCCTCAAGTCTTTTTCTATTTCAAATCTGACTTCAGTAAAAACTCACCTGAAGTTTTTTTGCCATGGCAACCACTTCATGGTCTGGAGAATTACGTTTGTAGCAATTCATGAACATTAATCTAACATCTGTGGCAAATTCTTGTATATCTCTATATTCAAAATTATCCATTTTTTTCTAGGGGGAAAGAAAGTGAATAGAAGTTTAGGCATTAACTTTAGAAGTGGCTCCATAGCCTTGGTATAAATTGACTAACCAACTCAGTCCCAGAGCGATCTGCCTAGTATTTGTAGGCTACTGACCACCAGTATCCACCTGGAGGAGGGTTAATTTTCACAGAAAAGGTGAAAGGTGTCACAAATATCCAGTGCTTGAGGATTCTAGGCACTACAGATGTTGAAGGGGTTTGGACAGAAGCAGAAGTAGGCAATATGAAACATTTTGTTTTGTATAACACTAGCAACAGCATCACACAGACTGAAAGAGACTTAATATGCTTTACTAGCAGCCTGATTAAAAAGGTAATTCTCAGCACTACTGCTATTAGCTTGTGGATTAGCCAGTATGTACATAGTCACCACGAGGCTCTGAAGAACTTCAGTAAACAGTTGCTTTTTAGTGAGCAGAGCAGCTGTTCTCTCAAACTATTTCTTTCAAATGAAAAGCAGCTTTCATGACTTTTTCAGCTAATGCTATTAAAATCCAGCATGATTACACAAGTTATTTAAGTGAAGAAGTTGTCCAATCCCCTCTAAAACATACTTACTTTAATGGTTCCCAAGTCTGCAGGACATTTGGTGATCCCTTTTTTCTCACCAAGTGAGAAGGATACAACATCTGCAGATTTTAAGAAAGGCCATGCATATGCTGAATGTTTCTTTGAGAACATTTCTTTAAGAATTTCATTACAATATTTTAGTTGTTTTGACAACTGAATCTTTTTAAGAACTCTAGGTGATTGCTGAGAATCTGGTAAGCCTTTCTTCAGAATCTTCTTTGGTATCATACATTCATTTTCACCTTTGCATGTCTTAACAGTTTTTCTTTCATTACATGTTGCAGAAGATTCACTGCTCGTTGTGAGTATTGAAGTAGTAGGAGTTGTAGTGTCGGCCTTCCTTTTCACACCTTTTTTTGTCTAGAAAAATGAAATCTTTAAGTTTAAAAGATGTACATCCAGAACAGTGGGAGGTCAGCTTTGAAACCATACAAAAAAAAAAAAAAAAAAAAAAAAGTGTCAAGAATTCTACAAGTATCAAAACCAAAAGAACGTAGTATTTCCCCAAGTTTAGACTGAGAATCTGCAAGACATTATGAGCCAACATCAAGCTTACTTTTAAGTTTAAAGGAAGGAATGGGAAGTAGGTTGTGGGTAGCTTTTAGCCAATTGAGAAGACTCAAAGAAACCAATAGGTTATGAAATACTCAAGTGACTACTATGGAAAGCAAAAAAAGTTACTGCAGTTTATGTTAAACTGGCAGAACGATTTATGTCTATAATTTTTTTAAACCCCAAGTGGTATTTGGTCTAGAGGAGGTGAACTTGCTTTGCCCGTTCGTGTTCAGATCTGTAGTAAATGTAAATATACACTGTAAGAGGACCTAGTACACGTGCCTTGTTGGAAGCGGATAAAGAAAGCTAAGCCAATACAAGCCTGTTCATTTGATCAGAAGTGTCAGACATCCACATACAATTCATACAGCAATTAACAAATGCTTTTGTGAGCTATGAACACCTTTCCCAGCTAGTTAGTGTTTCAACTAATATGCTATTTTGGGAACTCAAGCACTGTAATTGAAAACATGAGAAGTTTTTAAATAGAACTTAGAAAAATCTTATTTCAATACTAAAACCTTTATCTGGATCACAAGGAAAGAATTCCTACATCAAGGCAAAACTTGCAAAAGTGTGGAAATACACTCGAGAACGAGCTTTTTAGTTTACTTTGAGGAAAAACAATCTTCAATTGATATTTATAAAAAAAATGAACATCTACCAAGCAGTCATTCCAATTTCTGCATGCTTTCTAGAAATAATAGTAGCCCAGTTATTTAACAGAGACCTAAAATATATATTAGATCTCTTATTATCCTCTGTCACAATAGAAGTTTTGAAGAGATCCTGCAATAAACATGACTTTTTTGGTCTTGCTGTTCATGCCTGGAGCAGTGATTTCAATACCTTTCATTCCAAAAGTTATTTGAGGTAACTTACTTTTGTGATAGGGATGGCAGCTGGCATTAAAGTAGTCAGCTGAGCTGCAGACAAAGGAGGTGGTGTGGCCTTCTGTAGCTCTTGAGTTATTGCTGTAGGCTGCTCACCACTTTCAGGTTGTTTCTGCCTTGTTCTCTGTTTAGATGAAGTCCCACTGTTTGGCTGCTGAGGTTCTGGTTATTTTTAAAAAGTTTTAAGTTATGCCTTAAATAGTGCAGTTGATCATAGTGGACACTTTTAAATAATACATCTTCCACACACGAACTATATAAGTAACAAATACAAATAAAAGCTTTGATATATAGAGCAATGTTTTTTATCCTCTACTCAACTCCTCTATCTCAGCTAGAGCACTGTGTCAAGTTATGGATAGTTGGCATCAAGGAAACTGCGGATTAACCTCAGAGAAGTGATTTAATAGACAACATGCTAAGCCCCCTATATTGTAAGAAAGAGAAGTACTTGCAGAGAAAACACCAAATCATTCTGCATACACGTGAAATTATAGTCTTTAAAACATTTCAAAATTCATACAAGTTGCATGTTTGTGTACGTAAAGGATATAAGTGGTCTTAAATGGCTTCAGTATGAGAAAGACTGACTTATGAGTGTATAATTGTCATAATTTAAGACCTGCTCAGTTTCCAATGCATTTCTCAAAATTTCTGGGAACTGCTTATACCTGCTCAACAAACACTTACTTCCTATTAAGGTGCAACATCTTTTCATTAGATCTAACATAGATCCAGCAACTGACATCAGTTCCAGGCCCACTTGGGAGACTACCTTGAAGGCCTCCAAATTCATCCACTGGGATGCATGTACAATTCAACACACTAAATAGTCCACTTCTATTAATAAATTTATTTGTCTGGCAGTGTTGAAAGAAGAATTTTGTTCAAATGAAACATTTTTCAAGGTAATGAAGCAGGTTACAAGAGCAATTAAGACAACACAGGAGGTCAAAGATGAGTAATGAGTTGAAGCTAATCTCCTGGACCATTTTAATTAGGCTTCCCAGTGTAATTTGTAGTATCTACTACGTAATTTCCTCATTAGTTTGAGATGTCTTGTCCACAAGAAAGATGATTCAGTCAAGAGCACTGTTTCATATATAAAACTATGCTATTGCTCTACTGATGGTGTTGTCAGTTCTCATTCTGGTGAGTGTTTTTCCCTCGTCTTAAATACATTTCATTAGTAGAAAGTTCCTTTACAACATTACGGCTGCACTGAATCTGCCAAAGCTTTGCAGTGGTGTTACTGGTCTGGTATATTCTGGGAAAGATAGAGAGCATCCCAGCTACTCCTGTGCTGAGTTGTGACAAGTTACAGAGGACTCTCTGTTCCCAGCTTTTATTTAACGTTAACAATTCAGCACAAAGCCATTACCTTCTGTCAGCTTTTCTTTTCTTTTTCCTTTGTTGGGCATCAGTATTTCTTCTGGTGGCATTTGTGCTATTTTCTGCATGAACACTTTTTCTAGTTCTTGGGCCATAAACACAATGTCATCACCTGGCTGCAAAATATGGTTGATAGTATTCAGAGTGCAGGAGGAAAAGCTGCAGTAATAAAGTGCTACTTTTTCAACTAACCGTAGTCTACATTGAACAGATAGCAACACGTCACCTGTATCAGAGAGACACCAGTCATCCCTGTTCCCTATCTAATAGCCCCTTTCCCCCACCCTGCCCTGTCCTATTTGCTCATACAATCACATGCTTCCCATAGCAAAGGGAAAAGGGAGCGGGGCTGCAATTCCTTTTTTCATTCCTATGATCTGAAGAAAGCTCAAAGACACTTAAGCATAGCCAAAGCTCAAGGAGATACTCATGCTTCAGCTTAAGTTAGTTTGTCTTAAGCTTAATGAAGGAGAGAAGCATGCCTCAGAGTAACTAACCTTGGACTTGTCTGGCTGTTACACTGTGTTGTAAGCTGTGCAAAATAAACCTTGAAGTTTCGCCAGCAGAACCCTCATGTTATGATAACTATGCATTCAGATGTTAGCAGCAAGTTAAGCCTCACCTCTGTCTGCAGTTAAACCTAGCAGCAAAGCCCTCTCCCAATTCAAATGGAACTAGCTTCAAGAAACGTTGAAAACATTGACAAGTACTATAGGTAGTTAGAAGTATCCACTAATTCAGACTTGTTGGCGTTCATTACAATTGATTACCAATAAGAGGTGTTAGTTTCACTTACCTTGTTATATATGTAGCAGTTCAGGAACATAGTTTTGAAGTCATCAATGCATTCTGCAGCTTTTGTGTAGTAATTATGTTCCAGACGCTTTTTAATTGTGCTCAGGTCCATAGGTTTCTTTATAATACTGTAGTAATCCTGTGTTTTTCAAAGAATCACAGCAAATCTCTTGAATATTAGGACATGATGATTCTGACACAATTACAAAAATTAGATTGCAAGAGAAAAAACTGCGTTACGTTTCATGGCACATTACGTACAATTAATCTCAGACATGAGAGAAGTAAAAATACCTAGTTTGGAAAATAAAGAATTGGAGAAGCCACGGTGTTAACACCTTTCTACTCATTTGCCATAAGCAGTACCTTCCAGGTAATTCGAAATATTTGGAATGCTGTGTCAATTATTGATGTTTTCATTTGACTGAAAAAGCTGGGGTGATCCAATATTTGAGTATAAAGATACCTAAATTAAGACTTCTTGTCACAAGACCTTGTGTTCAGTCCAGGAATGTGCTAGTGATTTTGTACATGGCAAAAATCACAGTGCAGTGCATCAAATTGGATCCAGATTTGCCTATTTATTTTAGGATCAGATCTGCTTTTTCATCACAAAGTATTTAGAAAGAGGTTAGCAACTTCCCATTTAAAAAAATAGTCAAAAAGAAAAAACACTATACCCAGTATTAAGAAACACAGTTCAATTAGTGGGGAATTAGAAGAAAGACAGCACAGATTACCAAAATCAGGAAGCTCTATAAGGCCCATGTAAGCATTTTTATTCCTTGAAGAAATATTGATTTGCAACAGTCTCAGAAAGGAAAGTGAACAAAGATGCAGCACTCAGTATTAATCAGCAAGAGAAAGCATAGTTTTCTTGTACTTGGAAATGATTAAAGCAGTTATCATGCTAAAGTAGATTTCTAATATTAATTCACAAATACTGCAATACTTCATGGGATAATACTCTATTTCTGAAACAGTCCTTACAGGAAGATTCAGTGCTGCTGCATCTACAGGTTGATGAAATGGCCAGGAAAAGTTGTGTCGCCACATGGCTTTCATGACCACTCTCTGTAAGTACTGAAGTTGGTTTGTTTGACACCCACTATTTTTGCTGTTTATGTATTCTGGTGGAGGAGGATTAGTAATAAGACAATGACGCTGGCTTGGAAGAGACATCTTCAGCAAGAACATACATCCACTTGTTCCAAGATCTTCATTACACATCTAACCTGAAGGGAGGAAAATTGCTATTCAGTAAAGACATCTAGATCTACTGCCACTTGGTGTGTTCATATTCTGTTTGAGAGTTGTCAGTGATAGAGTTACAGACACACAGTTATGATTTAACAGAAACATACTTGTTTTACAGCATCCAGTTGGATGTGTTGAATTACCACGTCCAGTTCTTTAAGTTATAAATAGTTACATTTGAAAAGGATTAAAAAAGGCTTGCTGAGTTCTGCAAGATTTCCCTGGGAATAAGCTGCCTCAGGGGTTCATCGATCAAAGTCTAGGAAGACATTCTCTACATCCTCATCTCAACAGATGGAGTCTTACAGAAAAGGTTGACCTAAGAATCAGCTTTACAGAGTACACAAGTCTCATCTAGCACAAAGTAACAACTATGCATTACCTTCTTCATGCATCTCTGCCAAACTCACCTCAGAAAAGTCCTATCACCACCAATAAAACATTTTATCTTAAAAGTACAGTCTGTAACAGTGTACATCTACACAAGCCTGAAAAGCAACTTTTTTTTTTTTTTTTTTTTTTTTTTTTTTTTTTTGCCAGTGTGCATTGGCTTTATTGTATACAACAGGATTATGAAAGATTAACTTCCCCACCCTTCCTTTTATGTTATTAAAAAAAAAAAAAAAAAAAAAGAGAGAGAGAGAAAACTGCAGTAAGCAGCTATGGTAGTTGTTACTATGCTGGAATATGGAGGTGCACAAGAAGGTGCACAAGAAGGACAGAGAGGCCGTGTTTTAGATTGGATAACACCAGTAGCAGGCTAAGCAAGCCCTAGACATGATTACATGATTTCCTGTTCCCATCTGTTCTCGTAGTCCATCATCGTGTTCCAGACACTAAGCTAAGAGTCTGGTTTCCCTCTCTGCATTAAGGCCACTTCTCATATGTTAAGATTAACACTTGTTTTATCCAGGCTTTTTGTTCATTCATTAAATCAAGTGTTACTCTACTCTTTCTAGCTGTCCTTCTTTCTGCTAAACAAACAAACAAACAAAAAAACAAAAAAACCACACAGAGTCTGATTTGATCATTGCGTGAAGTATTTCATGGAAGTTTTGAAGAAGTCTTATGTAACTAAATAGCTACTGTAATCAGCACACTCCTAGGATACAGTCTTATGTTCCCCCCTTACAATTGTAACACTCTGTGAGACATTACATGTTACATACTTCCATCTTTGCTCTTATTTCTGCATTTAAAAGCAAGCCTTTAACAGCTCTTGAAGCTGAAGATATGTTCTCATTTCTCCCCCATGTGTTCAGTCTCATCATTTACGGAATGCAGGTATCTTTCAATTAACAGTATTGGTATCAAAGTAAAAGGAAACCAAAGCATCAGGGCTTTGCATACATAATACATATAATGTCTTGGGCCCAGGTGCCTGGCTTTTTTCACCTTAATTTATAGTGTAGAATCTAACTTCTATCCCAACAGAAGAGCCAAGACTGGCTGTCGTCCTAGTGGATGACAGGTTGGCCATGAGCCAGCAGTGTGCCCTTGTGGCCAAGAGGGCCAATGGCATCCTGGGATGCATTAAAAAGAGCGTGGCCAGCAGGTCGAAGGAGGTGATCCTCCCCCTCTACTCTGCCCTGGTGAGGCCTCATCTGGAGTACTGCGTCCAGTTCTGGGCTCCCCAGTACAAAAAAGACAGGGATCTCTTGGAAAGAGTCCAGCGGAGGGCCACAAAGATGGTGAAGGGCCTGGAGCATCTCTCCTGTGAGGAAAGGCTGAGTGAACTGGGTCTGTTCAGCCTTGAGAAAAGAAGACTGAGAGGGGACCTGATCCAGGTCTATAAATATCTGAGGTGTGGGGGGCAGAATGGCGAGGCCAGACTCTTTTCAGTGGTGAATGGAGACAGGACGAGGGGAAATGGCTGGAAACTGCAGCATAGGAAGTTCCACACAAATGTGCGCAAGAACTTCTTTACAGTGAGCACTGTGACGGAGCACTGGAACAGGCTGCCCAGGGAGGTGGTGGAGTCTCCTCTGGACATGTTCAAGACCTGCCTGGATGCCGACCTGTGCGACCTGCTGTAGGGAACCTGCTTTGGCAGGGAGGTTGGACTCGATGATCTCTGGAGGTCCCTTCCAACCCCTACAATTCTGTGATTCTGTGACTGCATTGTCTAAAGGAGAGACAAGGCTTTATACTTGAATCACCTCTTCCTGTATTCACCCCTTTTCACTTTGGTCACATAACACACTGGTTAAAAGTAAAATTCAAGTTTGTATTTTAAAGCAAGAGTGTGATGAGATTGTAGCCAGCTAGGTAGTTTGATTTCAAACCTCCCCTTCACAACCCTGTGCATTCTTGAGGTGCAAAGGCAGGCCCCAAAGTCAGCAATCTCTGAGAAAGCTTGCATATCTCTTTTAGGACTGATTTGAAGGGTTTTAGCCCTACAATAAAGTTTAAGAGTAGAAAGCTTTTATGTATTATATCACTATGGAAAGCAATGTTTTTAGCAAGACACCATATCTTCTAAGAACCACATTAGAAGTAAGCTAAACTTCAAGCTTCTTCTGAGTTTGTTGTTGTTTTTTTCTAAAGAAAATAATATTTTTTACCTCTGATAGATCTCTGAGAGAGAGCATTAGCTAACTCGCTGGAAAAGAAAAAAAAAAATGCTTTTCCCTTGCTTTAGTTCAATATTATGTCTATTGAAGTAGAACACATATCATCCTAGTCAGAAGCAGCAGCTCAGATAAGCATTAGCATCCTACCTACTGAATAATAACATTCCTCAAGGCTTTTCTAACAGCTTTTTGGTTAGCTAATAGTCAATTATCTCATCAAAATCACTATAAACAAGTATTGAAGAAAACCTCTTATTTTAACATACCATAGCCACATAGAACTAAGCATAACCTCCTTACTCTAAGCAACAAAATTTGCCTTCAGGAAGACAACAATCCCCATACACCTATCAATAAAGCACCATTTTACTGGTTTTAGAGTCACAAAAAACCACTGACTTACGTCTTCTGTCATAATCAGTCTATCTTATAGACCTCAGATCACTCAAAGCTGAATTGCTATCTTTAGAACAGATGATATCATTTTTACCTCACTTTTAGGAAAGTCAGAACTTAGTGCCTCCCCACCAAAGGGAAGAAGGAAGAACAGAGCTTTAAAAGAAAGGACAGAAAAGTTTTTATAATCTACTCAGTCCTCTGGTTTAGTCAGCAACACAGCTACACACCTGTAACCCTGGTCTATGATTGATTCTATTTGGGAAGCTATTTGTATAAAACGAGAGCAGCTGTTAAGGCTTAAGACACCAGTTGTTTTTCTTTATACCATACTCACATACTTGTATATCAATAAGATAAGGTGGAAGGATATAAAAATATGGATGATTCTACTTAAGCTAGTTGTGGTTTGCAGACTAAAGCTTAAAAGTAAGGTGTTTTATTGGTTATTCTGATTTACATAAGGCTATGGTAGAACAAGGATGCAGAAGTAACATATGTGTTTAAGTGCTCCATAATATTCATACCTTCCTATGCTTTCCTGATTCTTTACTGACTTTTAAAAGTAAATACATTATATAAATGTTGCTATAGCAAACAGTGAGATGGAAAAGGTTCTGGTATACATTCTGATAGTGGCAAAAGAAAAGAGAAGCTGCTGTTTCTTCAATGTACTTGTTTGTTGTCTTAGATTTTTCTCTTTAGTTTCCAATTTGCAATTGCTTAACTTTCTTTGAATCTGTCTTTGTTCTGTGAAGAACTTCAGTCAGCTGAATTGGATAGGCTATGCCTATGAGTGTGGCAACACTGCGTTTGAAAACTATGTTAGTTTGGTTAGTAATCACTAAGAGATTTTCTTTAAAATTCAGTTTTTCTGTCTGGCACGTATCTGATGTTAAAATAAGCTGAGAAGAGAATGCATTGGGATATTTTTGTTTAATTTAAATATAATATTTTGAGAAACAAATGAAAGCAACCAAAAGACCTTGGAAAATATTGTAGTATTCTTCGCTGGTTCTGCAGTTGCAGTGCTTGCTACAAACTCTGGCTCTGTCTGGCTCTGGGTCACAGTGCATTCAGCAGTTTTCCCAAAGGGAGAGAGGAGAAAAGGCCAATAAAAGAGTAGAAAGAAGAGGTTACCTTCATGCTTCTGTCCTCACCCAGTACCTATTTCCAAAACAGTCATAACACCATCCATTCAGGTGAGAAATTATGGTATCTGACCAGTTCCAGACTATCGGTTTTTATAGGGCTGATGGAATGGCTGAGATGGAGTAGCATTTCAGTGGAATGTAGCGTGACAGTTTACCTCATCATATGCACAATGCAACTTTGCTGCTGAATGTGCAATTAATATGAGACTGGGGGGTAAGATCCCTGACTGCAGGAGAGTAGAACAGGAAGAAGGTGTCAGGAAATCAGTCCTGCGGAGAAAGGCTAGTGATTATAGTGGTATGTGGATTTTTAATTAAAGAGACAGTCTGATTTAGAAGCATGGAGGCTATCATGCTTTTATCTAGTCCACGGCAATGTTAAATAGCAATTTAAAACATCAGATCCTTTGTGATAAGGAAGGTAATACATCTGGGACAGAATTAAGTTCTTAAAAATGGAACCTTATCTTTCCAGTAGCATGAAAGTACCAAGTGGAAAAAGAAAAAAGCTGTATTTTCATCATTGCCTATGCTAAAAAGAATCCTCCTTTATCCCTGCATATAAAGTGAGATGATAGAGAAGTTAAGAAGCCAGCATCTGCCTATAGTCTTCCTATCTGTCATACATTTTCCTGTGTATGGAAAGTTCTTCCCTGGAAGCAGTACACTGGAGGGAGCGCTTAAATAGTCGTTCCGTGGCAGATCTCTGCATTGTGACTACTAAATCTGTTCTGAATAGGGTTTCGTGAGATGATGTCTGAGCTACTGTTTTATTACTTCCTAATATTAGTTTGGAAACAAC